TGGGCTTCCCCCCCCCTTCTCATAATATTATTATTTCTTGTGTGGCTGGTATGAGCGAACTGGCGGCGTGAGCACACTGCTGTCTTCGCATCAAGAAGCCATAGGATTATTGTAAAAGAAAAAAAAAAAGGGGAGGTAAAAAACCGTCCAGTCTTAAACTTTGCCAACCGTACCAGCCCGTGACATTCCTCACATTAAAGAAGTTTTACCAGAAATGACTCGCCGGCGCTCCCCGCCTGCTCCAAACGCATCTCGCTGGTGCCCTCTGCGGGCTGCGGACCGAGGTTTCCAGGGATTGTAGCTCCACGCCAGTTTATTCCCAGCTTTACAGTAAATGCCAGGACAAGGTGGGGGAGCGGGAAGGGGGAGCTGAGAAGCTGGAAACGCCCGTCAAGCTGCGAAACCTTTGCCCTCCCTTCCCTCCTCTTATTCAGCAGCTGCGCCTGGATTCAAGCACTTGCTGCGGGAGGTTGTGAAACCCTGGTGCCGCTTAATATTTGAGCTACCGAGGTTTGACCGATAACTGGGTTTTCCCCTTTTCATTTTCTGGGGCTGCACGTCTTCCCCAGGCAGCTGCCGTGCGTGGCGCTCGATACCGGGGTCAGAGCCCAGTTTCTAGGGTTACTATCTGAAACGGGGCTTTGAGCGGAACGCAGGCTTAGCGAGAGCATAAATGTTTTCTTCAGGAATCTGGGAGAGTTCTCAAGGCCTTGCGCTTCATCTTTCCCTTGATCCTTACAGATGTTGTAGATTAGGATCAAATGTAAGCGTTGCCTTTACCCTAGCAGTTGAGTTTTTCTGCTGATTCTGGTCTACTTCTGCAGAGTTTTATCGCTACAGAAAATATGCAGTGTAGAAATTTTTTCTTTATTTTTTTTTCCCCCCAAAGCAAGAAAATATGCATCAGTCACATGTTTAAGTGGAAACTGTGTCTCTGAGCCAAAACTTTGATGCTTTTTAATTGTTTTTCCCATACAACGCAGCACTGGAACATTTTTCTTTTAAGTTGCGTGTCATGCAATTTTCCTAATCAGTGATTTGCCATGTGGTAAACATAGACTTTAATGGGAAGAGTTTGTGTATCTTTCAGACCAATTGACTTTCCCCTCAGATATCCCAGCACTGTGTCCAGTTTTCATTCGAGGAGACGCTCAACACAGGAGAGCCATCAGCGGCCTTTTATTTATTGTAGGATGTATCCTATACACCCTATATTTGGTAACTAAGTAGTTGTTAAAAGATCCTCTGGGGTGTTTTTTTGGTGGTTTTGTTCTTTGGTTTGTTTTCTTCCATGGTCGTTGTCTAGCTCAGTACTAGTTCAGTACTGCTCTTCAGTATTTATGGTTACAGACATAAACGAGGGTCAGGAGGAGAGCAAAGACACAAAGGGTACGGTATGGAAACTTCTTATTAAGGTGGAGAAGGGCAACACAGACCTAAAGCCTGAAATGTTCCCGTGCTGCCACGGACCTGCTGACGTAGCCTGTCCCTGCCTGTGGAAGGACTTGGAGACTCACTTTACTAAGGATCAAGGGAGGCCTCCATCCAACCCCGTATTTTTAAGGCAGAGCACAGACTGACCTCAGTTCTTGGCACTCTTAATAACATGACTCTTTCTCTTTGCTGTTTACTTGTTGGGTTTTTTTAATGATACCTTCATCTGCGTGTTGCTTGGGTCAGGAGGAGAGCAGTGGCTGAGCGCATGCTGCGCTTGTAGCCCTGCGATCTGGCTCTTGCTGCATCTTTTCTGTAGAGCTGTGAATTCCTTGTAGATAAGGAGAATCAAGAGCTGGCAGAGCGATGCCTTCAGGAGCCTCTTCGGGTCAGGAGAGGATTGCTCTGAGTGTCCTAGGTGAGGAAATGGCAGGAGGGGGTCTGAAAAAGAGGAGAAATGGGGAAGTGCCGAGGGCAGGTGGTGCCGCCAGGCTGGCAGAAGGGGATCGAAGCTCTCTAAGAGGAGGAGGAATGAGGAGAGCAAAGCTGGGGTTGCTGTTTGGGGGAAGGTCCAGAGCTCCAAAGCGAGGAGGCTGATGCTCGAAGGGGCTGTGCAGGGGAGGTGGCGGGGAGTTGGGGAAAAAACCAGCAGCGTCCCGGCGGTCCGATGGGATGGCCACTGGGCAGAGCGTGAGGGGCCAGCAGCGTTTTGGTGCGCCAAAGCTGATCCAATGCCGTGTTCCTGGCAGGCAAACCCTGACCAGGAAACAACATTTGTGGAACCCAGCAGTAGCCTGAGTACCCTGAGTATCTGAAGACTCAGCCTGTCACAGCAGCATGTCCCTTAATTAATTTTCTGGGGAAAATATAGAATACAGCTTTGGAGGAATTTTTTTAGGAAATTTTAAGGGATTAGAAAGGAAGCTTGTGACGGAGGTGGAGCATGGTGCGAACATAGAAAGCAGTTTGACTGATCTCTTCCCAGGGTCTGTAAGCAAGCAGGCACTGTGGAGCTGCCGAGGGATGTGTCTGAACTGAGCAGCTCCCCTTTGCTGCCCAGGAGACCTTCACTAGTGTTAGAGAAGGGTTCTAGTTTGAGTACAGGATTGATTGCAAGTGGGGTAGTTGCTTTATCAATAACTGAGAGCTTGATCTTTGTGTCAGACACTTGTATCTTAAGTGGCTGATTTGGTGGTGGATCTAACTTTGGTGGAAATTTTGAGCAGGTAATTGGGTGTTGTCGCGTGTCGGAAGCTGCAGTGCAAATGATGTCTTTGCACCCAAAGATCTCCAAATGTTTTGCAGCCACAGCTTTCTAGTGTCCCTGCAAAGAGGACAGAACTCTTTCCTCTCTGCTTTTTGGGTACAGGAGGGATAGTTGCGCAGGCAGGTAAAGATCATGATAGCCACTTGTGGAGCTGGAAGCAGAACTTGCGTGCTTTGACTTGAGCACTTGTAGTTCAACTGGTCTTGCACTTCCTCCTGCAGGGTTAAGGTCCCTTTATGTTATGGTTGTGGAGGCACCAAGGCATCCATCCTCCTGTGCCATGTGATGAGAGCCTCTACCGGGCAGAGCAAAGAAGAGGATTTGCACCCGCGCTTTCCTCCATAGTGTTGACAGTTTGCAGCTCTGGGCCTCTAGTTAATTGGGAGAGGTGACAAAGGTGGTGTACACTCTGAAATGTGAGCTATCCTTGAGGCTGTTTTGGACTTGAGCTTCAGGTGAATCTCTAAGGCTCTGGCAGGGCTTTTGTCAAGGTTTTGGTGTCAGCGTCACCCTGTCTGTGTAATTTCCTCATCTGCTTAACTTGATTCACTCCTTCCTTTCTTGCTAGATTTTGAACTGTCCAAAGCAGTAAGTTGGCATTTGTTGGTATTGAAACTGGATCTTCTGGACTCCAGGAGCTGGCATCTGGACTTCTTGTGGCTAATACTGGCCTGAAATGCTGTAGCTATCAGAAAGTAAAATACTATTTGCAGTAGCCTTGGTTTAACAAAGCACTTAAGGTGCTTGACTAGGCACACCCTGAAAAGGAAATCTGTGTTGAAGTACTGTCCCTTATCTGGGACGCTTACCTGAGCTGAGGTCAGGCTGATGCAAGGGCTTAGAGATCAGTGGTAGTGACGGCTGCTGGTCCTACAAGCCCTGTCCCTTGCACAGGGATTGCTGGAGCAGGGCACATCTGTCTGTAAAACCGAGTGTAACCATTGAAAGCCTTCTGAAGGAGCTCAGCATAGACAAAAGCATTCTTTCTCCCCTGCTTCCCCCCTCAGGGGACAAGTGATTGTTTTCCTTGCAGTTTAGTGCCAGCATATTATCCAGATGGATTTACCTCCGTCTGAAACAAGGTGTACGTGTATTTTGGAGATCATTACCTGCTGCCTTGGTTTTACTGCTGCCTTGTTTTGTCTAGACAGTGCAGAGAGCTGCAGGGAACTTGTCCGATCTGAATCCTAAGACCTATTTTATAGGCTGCTATTAAAATACATATCCTCGCACGTAACCATCCCAGGGCCGGGGTTCTTGCTCTGTGTGTGCGGCGAGCACAGAGCCACTGAACGAGAAGCAAGCGGCTGTTCTTGCCCTACCAAACCCTACATGGACTGAGCCCAAATTTCAGAGGAATCTTTTGGTAGAAGACGACTTTGCTCTGCTTGGTAATGGCATTTCAGAACTAAAGTTTCTCTTCCTTTTCTTTGGGCTGGCAGAGAAGTGTTTTTTTTTCTAGAAACTCCTTAATTCCTCTTTCACTCCATGCCAGAAAGAGCAGTGGGCACAGGCAGGAGGTGGCAGCGGTGGGGACGCTGCTCGGGAGGGCAGGCTGGTGTAGGGGATGTTGGGGTGGTGTGGCAAAAGATGAGGAAGGGAGCTGGGAGAAGGCAGGGCTGCTCGGGAGGGGAAGTGCCTGAGCCCAGCACCTTCCTCAGGGGGGCTGTGGCAGGCCGACCAGCCCAGGATGCTGCAGAGGCACTGGCAGCCAGTGCCTTTGCTTCAGGTGCTGCTTTGATCCTCACTACTGCTGCTCCTGATTGCTTACCTGGTTTCTGAGTAACCACTTATGTTCTGCTTCCATTGACGGTTTGTTCTTCTCTCTCTCTCTCTGTCTCCCCTTTTCCCCATGCTTTTCCTCCTAGAAATTTCGAGTAGATATGCCAGGATCAGGCAGTGCTTTTATTCCCACGATCAACGCCATCACAACCAGCCAAGACCTGCAGTGGATGGTCCAGCCCACTGTCATCACTTCCATGTCAAGCCCTTACTCTCGCTCGCACCCCTACAGCCATCCGCTGCCCCCGCTGTCCTCGGTGGCGGGACACACAGCCCTTCAGCGACCTGGGGTGATCAAAACCATCGGGACCACAGTTGGCCGGAGACGAAGAGACGAGCAGGTAATCACGGCGAGGAGGGCGGCTGAGCGTGCCTCTAAAACAGGCGTACAGAGATTTCCCCACACACTCTTCTTGGGATCTCCCAACCCCCTGGGGGAGCGCTAAGGTCTGTCCCCTGCACTGTACAGGTGCTGAGGTTTCTCAGGGTGATGTAGGGTGTAAGCTGGAGGGTGATTTTACTGCTGCTTCCTCATTGTATGGTGAGACTTACCCAATCTCCATCAAACACTTTGCACCACCGGGCCGCGTTGCGGCTCAGTTTCAAAAGCAGGTGAAACTCTGAAGCTGAGCCCTCGGTTTCAGTTTGAGTGTCTCTGCTGCTCCAGGCAGAAGGAAACATCTGAGCAAGCAGAGGAGTTTTTACTAGGTCCTTTATGAATCTGACACCTAAATTACGTCAGCTGGTGTTTTAGATCTGCTCTGTGGCAGCTAGCCCTGTTCCAATCTGCTTTTGAGTGATAACACCAGTATCAGTCCGTATCATGCAGGGAGGAACAGCTTCCCTATAGAGCACCTTGACTCTAGTGGCAAGAGCCTTCTGGTTGTCTGGTGTGCAAATCCACTTTTCCACTGCAAACATGTAATCACTTGATCTCTTTACAGTGGTGGCATGAGGACCAGATGATCTCCAGAAGTCCCTTCCAACCCCTAACATTCTTTGATCCCATAAGCAGAGGCTTTTCTATTTCCAACCCAGTGGCATGTTCGTAGCTGGGATGGGGTGGCTTGTACCATTGCTTCCCTGTGCTCAGCCTCCCGATGGGATTATCATGCTGGGACCCTGGATTCTGTGCTGGGGCAGGGCAGTGGACTAGATGCAGGCATCTCATCTGCTGGAAATCCCTTCAGCCCTGTCAATCTCTTCTTAGTAAGAAACAGTGTTCTCTAGGGCTGTCTCGTGAATAGCTATCTACAGTGCTGGGCTGACTTCTTTTTAAAAAACAAACAAACCAAAAAACACAACCAAATAATCTAGATCTCCACGAATTGCTCCCGAGCAGCGGTTGTGTGGGTCACTGCAGAACAGTGTAATGAGACGCACAGCACACTCTCAGTACACGAGCACACACTATTGCATGAGGTCTGTTTCTAATAAGACTTACCAGCCCTACTTTTACTTCCACGTCATCTGTTTTGATTCACAGTCTGGTTATTTTATGTGGAGTCTCTGCCTGGTTTAGACCTAAGAGGCAGGGAAGGGGTTAAAGTCATTTGTCCAGACGAAGCTGCACCTCTGCACTGGAAGTTGGTATGGGTGGACTGAGGGCCCGTTTTCAGGAGGAAAGATGGGGCAGCCATGGTGGTTCGGGTACGTGCCAGCCCTTTCCACCATCTGGAGCTACCTCCCAGTTCCCTGCATGCAGGGCTGGTGTCCAAAGACGGGGAAGCTCTCACGAGAACTGGGGGAATAATTAGCAACAACTAATTTGTTTGACAAATGCTGCCTCTGTGTTCACAAATTGGCCGTGAAGAGATCACCATATTCTGTGCTTTATTTGTTGTTCAGAGTTATTTGCTGAAGGATGCCTGCCAAGCAATTCCTGGCCTGTGGCTTGTTTGCAAGCTGTTCATTGTGGGTCATTCAAAGCCAAGTCCTTTTGATTAGACACGTGCTAAGGCAGTACCCGGGTGCTTTACCGTGGCTCTTTGGCTCGGGCTTCCACTGTTGGTGCTTTGAACACCGCATCGGAGTGCCTTTTTGGAAAACATTGTGTAACGCTTTATGAAAAGAGCTTGTTTTGATGAACATTTCTGCCAGTGAATGCACGTATTGGGCTTGGACAAGCTACAGATAACGCGTACAGCAGGGGCACGAAGAGTGCCAAATCCAACCGCTTTCATACAAATCCAGCAACCGCTGACATAATATTCCTTTTTAGACCCAGCGTAACGTTAAGCATATCCAGATTAGGGGCTTCAGCTCTGGCTATAAGATTTTTGCAAAGCATAGTCTCAGAGACACATAATTTAAAAACAACTGAAGGTCCTGCTAGTAGAAATTTCAGTCCCAACATTACTTCAACGAGCTCTATACTTCTAAAGTATGAAAGGGTTCTTGAAAACCGTACACAGAGGTCCCAAGTCAGCACAGAATCCATGTGCCTGCTTAGTGCTTTGCTGTACTACAGATACTTGCATGCAAATACTTTTTCACCCTGCACACATAACGGGCTGGAAAGTGAGCAGGCAGAGCTGTAATGGGGAGAGTGGTGCCTGAGGAGGCTCCTTTCTGGGGAGGAATATGCCAAAACCCTGCTGGCTGCTGCTCAGCAGGGTGGAGGTATCCCCCCCCGCCCCAAGATGAAGCGCTGGAATCTGATGATGGAAAAGCTTTCACTCCCCAAACCTGTGTCCTGAAGTCCTAGAAGTGCTTGTGTGCATCCCAGGGCTCATGCTGCATGCAGGTGAAATTGCAGGCACCGAATGGATCCCGGAAAAAAAAAAAAAGGCAGAACTGAGCGAGGGGAATTCCCAGAGGCTGAAGTAAACTCCCCAAAACTGCAAAGATCGAAATCATAGAATCATAGAATGGCCTAGGCTGGAAGGGGAAATTAAGGAAATAAACCAAAACAAACTAGAATGAGGTTAGAGTAAAACTAACACTAAGAAGAAAAGAGAGTAAAAGGGTGAATGTCTCATTTGTGATTTTGACAGCCGCTGAAGATATTAAAAATGAAAGCTTTTATGAAAAGGTTTTTCTTTCCATTCTCCGCTGGCGCTACGTGAGATCTGGCATACGCTGTGCAGGGCGCTCATCTCACTTCTGTTTCTAGTCACCGGGCCAAAGCCCCCATGGCACACACCGGCCGGTGAGGTTGACGTGCAGGGCACGAGGTCAGTCCGCGGCAGAGGAGGATGCACGGCCAAGAGTGTGCTGTGAATCCCCACGGTGGCCTCTTTGCACCGGCTCCTGCATGCCGTGTGCCGCAGCGGTGAGCCGGGACACACCAGCCCCCTTCATGCACTGCTGTCCCAGCTGCCCAGCCTTGGCAGTGGCTCAAGCCTATCTGCTGCTGCCGGGGTTTGTAAAAACCTTGTCTCAAACCTCCAGAGCTAGGTCTGACCTGACCAGATCTTGTGGGCTCCTGCTCACTTCCTCTGGTTTCGCAAGAGTGTCGCTCTGTGGGTTTCTATGGAATTGCTCCTGATTTACATCAGTGAGGATGTCAGCCGGCTTCAGGAAGGCCTTGATATCACTGGAGCCTTGCCTGCTGATGCAAGAAGCACAGTGTGTTATCTCGCTGAGTGCTCAAAAATCTGAGGTCAGATTTTTGGGTGGTATAAATCATTGTTGCTTCACGGGCTTCATGGGAGCTCTGCTGATTTCCCTGTCTCCCCCTCCACCCCATCCCCGACCTTCAAGCTAGCAACTATTTTTGTGTGGGAAGCAGCAGATATTTTCTTTCAAGAACGAGGCACTTACAACATAGTGCTCTGGTTTTGCTTAATGTACCACCCAAGTTGTGAAACAATCAGAGCATCTTTTATCTGTTTGGCCTTGGTGCAGATTCACTGTCCTCTTACACAATCTTCCCCCTGCTCCCCGCTCCATCTTCTCCTCACCCTTCTGCTAAGACCCGGTCCAGGCAGAGGTACTGTGCACTTTCATCTTCTGCTGACATCAGTGAAGAGGGAGAGCGCTCAGCATCCTGCTGGATCAGGCCTTTTCTCCTTTGTGTTGCGGTTAAATCCTCACAAACTTCAAGGAATGCCTTGCTCAGATCTGATTGTGGGTTTTCTTGGCGCTTGCCCACAGCTGTCGCCCGAGGAAGAAGAGAAGCGAAGGATCCGGAGAGAGAGGAACAAGTTGGCAGCTGCTAAGTGTCGTAACAGGCGTCGAGAGCTAACAGAGAAACTCCAGGCGGTACGTGTTCTCCATACGTTCCTCCTTCCTTGTCGCCTGCCCTTTGGACCAGCTCGAAGGGCATTGTTCTTCCTCCATTCGAGGAAGATGCTACAAAACACACACTGCATTCCCCTTTCAAGGCTGCTCGGTGGCATTGCTCTTACATCAATGGTGATGAGGGGTCAAGCCTGGAGCTCAGGACCCTAATTTGTCTTGCTGACTGCCGAAAATTCCCTAGGAGCTCTCTTCCCTTCTAGATTGCCTTCCCTCTCAACTAGCCTAAGTCTCACTACCTCTGGTCTCCCTCCATAAGTGAAAATAAAAATGCCTCCAAGGGAGGCTTTAAGGACAAAAGCACTGAAGAGAGTAGGATCATCTGAAAGGAGTAGAAGACACGGCAGATGTTACGTGTACCTAACAAAACTACATCCTTCAGCCTGACCTTTCTTTGGTAAGGGTAACTGATTTCTTGCAGAAAAAGGAAGCACCACAGAGACCTGTGGTCTGTGTCACAGAGGAAATAAGTAGTTAAGCTGGAAAATGTAGGTATGAGCACAAGAATCGTGGGGTGGGTAAGGGACTGGCTGAAGAGGAAGCAAGGATGAGTTGTGTTGAAAGAGGCTGGAGGGAAGGCTCCAGCGTTCCCCTTCAAGAACCAGGCTGGGGTTGGTTTTATTCAATGATCTTATTAACAATTTCAGCAGCAGTGAAAGCACACCAGTGAAACGTGCTGCTGACTCGAATTTGGGAGGTATTCTCAGTGTAGGGGAGGCAGGACATCGTATAAGAAGAATTTAAGGATTGTCATGACTAAAGTAATAGAAGTGAGAGGAGTGAAAAGTGGCAGGTCATATCCTGAAGGACTGAGGGCAAGTTCTTTGTGAAATGGTGAGCTCCACACACAGGAAGCTACTAATTGCTTACAGATTGACTATGAGCCACCAGTGTGATATGACCTTGGGAAATGCATTTACATGGTAAATATATTAATTCTAGAATGCATCAAGAGATGGTCCAGCGGAGGTGAAAATGTTAGACCTTTGTGCAAGAGTCAGGCAAGTGTCAGACCTGGCAAATGCACTACAGAAAGAAAATGGAAACAGTTTAGAGATTGCTGTACACTAGCTTTGTCTAAATAAAACTCATATGATTTACCTAGCACAAAAAATGACAGGAGATCTGTGTCTTCTCTGCTAAGATGTCTGTCAGGCAGACAGCAAGGGACAAGAGTGAAGTCACAGGCCAAGACAGAGTGGTGGAATCTGGCTGTGAGAAAATTAAGATGAACTCAGGAGTAGAATATTTATACCCTTAGATTGAAGAATTTTGGGAATAGCCTGGTAGACACATGAAACACAAGATACTCGGCTGTCAATCACCTGGTGCCTGCTTGGGTCATGAAGAGGCTGAGGTGAATATGTCTATGCCAGATGGGAACTGAACTTGATGACCATGTTCCAGGTGAGGAGTAGTTCTAGAGCCTCTGATACTCACTTATTCCCCTTTTGTATGCAGGAAACTGAAGTGCTGGAGGAGGAGAAGTCCGTGCTGCAAAAGGAGATCGCTGAGCTCCAGAAGGAGAAGGAAAAGCTGGAGTTTATGCTGGTGGCTCACAGCCCTGTGTGCAAAATTAGCCCTGAGGAACGTCGGAGCCCACCATCCAGCAGCCTCCAGAGTGTTCGGACTGGAGCAAGCGGAGCAGTGGTGGTGAAGCAGGAGCCTGTGGAGGAAGAGATCCCATCCTCCTCTTTGGTCCTTGACAAAGCCCAGAGGTCTGTCATTAAGCCCATCAGCATTGCTGGAGGTTTTTATGGGGAGGAGGCACTCAACACTCCCATTGTGGTGACCTCAACACCAGCCATCACTCCTGGCTCCTCCAACTTGGTGTTCACCTACCCCAACGTGTTGGATCAGGAGTCTCCTCTTTCCCCATCCGAGTCCTGCTCCAAAGCTCACCGGAGGAGCAGCAGCAGCGGTGACCAGTCCTCGGATTCCTTGAACTCTCCCACCTTGCTGGCATTGTAATCCCCCTGTGGCCCCCCATTTTGCCAGTGTGTTACATCCTCCCTCAGCACCATGGGGGGAGCTCCCCTCCACGGGATTAGAGACAGGCACAGGATCGTTCAAGCACAAGGGCAGCAAGAACAAGGATGGGGAAGTGCTGCAGCTCCAGGAAGGAGAGCGAGGACCAATGCCAGCTCCCTGGAGGCAGGAAACGGCAAGGGTGGGACTGACACGCCAGGACTGTTTGGAGAGGGTGATGTCCCCTCTGTAGGGACTGCCTATGGAAACATCTTCATGGCCGTAGTGGACTTGGGGAGCACTCCCGGCCAGGACTAAAGGCGAGCTGCAGACAGTTGCTAGTCGTCCCTTTCCTTTGTGAATTGATCTGATCGGTTGTGCTCTGTGCTTAGATCATTCTGGTTAGTTGATCTTACAAATTATCTATTTCCCTCTCTCTCTCTCTCTTTCTCTCTCTCTCTCTCTCTCTCTCTGCGCTTGTCATTTCCAATGTTGTTGATCCCATGACATTTCATCCAGTTGCTCTGAACTCTAAAGGCTTGTTAGGATCTTTCCTCTTGGGATGGGCTGTGGGAAGCATGTAGGGCAGCCCAGGAAGGGGGGGATGGCTGGGAGAGGTGGGACCAAGAGGAGCCTGAGGGCTCAGCAGCAAGGAAGAACTCATAGCTCTGGCCTGGAGCAGAGACAGCAGGAGGCTCATGCGGAAGCCTTTCTATTTTAAAATGTAGATATATTTATCCCCTTGGGCTCCTCAAAAAACAAGTTAGCATCTCAGGGCCAAAGCAGCATCAGAAAAGCTGCTGGGCTGGCACTTAGAGTGTCTTTGGCAGAGTTCTACCCCAGTTTGGTGGATATCGAATCTGCTGCTTGTTGTTTACTTTTCCTGGGCTGCCCGCTGTCTAGGGAGTACTGCATCTTCTTCCCCATCAGGGCTCCTGACTCAGAGGCTGATCTCTTCCTGTTAGTACATCCTCCCCTCCCCTTGGCCATATTTGCAGAACATGCTATTGAAAAAGAGGAGGCACCACGTGCCTATAAATCTGGGATGGAGACTGGCAGCGGGTAAGACGATGAAACTATCTGGCTGCACCCTTACTGACTTTTTAATTGTTGGGAAACAAAGTGCTGCACATCCACCAGTTGATACAAGTGCATGTTGTTTGCTCAGAGATTCCCAGTTTCTGAGGTTGTGGGGGAAGGCAGTGGTCCAACCTCCAGCACAGCACAGGCCACAAGGCGCTCCTGACCGGGCAGGAATGGCATGGTTGAAGTGATGACCTGTCTGAGGTAGAACAGAGCTTCTGATAACCTCTGCTCATGAATGACAAATTGACACCTTGGTCTTTGGCCTCTGGTTCTGGTGTTGGTTTTTGTGGGGTTTTTGCATTGTACTTGATCTGGTTTTGTCAAAGTTGATTGGCCAGAAGACAAAAAACAAATCAGAAGGCTCTTTCTCTAGCTCTGGGTCCTTGTCTTCTCCAACCTTTGAGCTTTGCTGCTACTACTAAGTGCTCACAGAGGGCACAAGCTCTCCAGCACTGATGTTCACAGCTGGAAACAGTAAAGTGTGTAACCTATTCCCACTCGGATCCAAGCTCAGTTCCTGTTGATGTCAAGGCACTGACAATCCGTGACCATGTTTGGATTGCCCAGTTTGCCAGCTAAGCCGCTTAGGGGATAGCTCTTTGATCCTGCCTGTTGAAGCTGTGGTGGCAGCTATTTATTTTGATGTGAGATTTTCTTGTTCTTTTATATTTTATTTTATTTTTAATCAACTGAAACTAGGATATTTCTTGGTCAGGCTGGACCTGGAGAAATGCAATATGTGATTATGGGGCCAGTCCTGCAAGATGCTAAACTGCTGCAGTCCCAACCAACACCACTGGGAATTATTAGGGTTCAGTCTTGTGGAACTGGACCTTTACTCAGCAGGGCTGGCTTCCCTTAAACTCTGGCCACTGCCCGTTCCTTGGGTCATTTCAAAGGGGCGCTACTTTGGCTCTAAAGGTAGACTTTGCTTTTTCGTTATTACTGTAATTTTTAAACCCAGGTATTTACCAAACCTGCCAGAAATAGAAAGATATGAGAGATTTTTTTTTTCATCATAAAGCTGATTTTTCAGGCTTTTTCTTTATTGTTTGAACACTTCTATCATTATACCGATATTAGAAATTTCAAATTGAGCTGGTATAATGGTAAGCAAAACTGTTAAAGGAGTTCTCTTGTACTTATATGAACATAAAAACTTCCTTTTTATAAAGTAGGCCTTAAACTTCCCATAGTTAGCACAGAGGATCCTGTTTTTATGGGGTCTTATGTAGCAGATATCGCTTTAGGTGAAACTGCTGCTTCTCCAACTGTCTTCATTTTGCCAGATGCTTGTTTGGGCCAGTCTGGACTGAGAATCTAAAACTGTTCAGTAAAACGTCTCTGCATGTACTTTCCAACCATTTCTGAGCAGGATGCAACGTTGACAAGTGGTGAATCCTAAAGTGATGCAGCTACTTTTGAGGCCAGCTGACCAGGGTCACTGTCTCCTGGGAGATCAGGAGCATCTATACTAAGGGGTTTCAGGAAGTCAGGTGCCTCCTCAAACCCTAATGGAATCACAAACTCCTACCTTTGCTTTTGCTCACTGGATGATTGGCAAAAGGAGCTGCACCTAGCCCTTGCCCACTGTGTGCTGCCTTGTCATTGACCTTCTCACAGACAGGATAGGACAGTCCATTTTTCTGTCCTGTGATACTGACGGAAGCCGCGTGAGGCTGCTCAGAAAAAGAGGATTATTTTCTGCAATAGAGAAAAAGCTCCAAATACCTTGTGCTTGCCTATTTTGTCCCTCAAATCTCTCAGAGGATGTCTGTGTTGGGATCACTGGTCTCCTGCGTTCTGTATTTGTGGATCAGCCTTACTTTTGTTTAGTTTCTAGCAGACAGGTACAACTTGAGCTCTGCTGCTGATTTTATCTGGCCCTGCGTTCTTCTTTTTGGGTTTACTAGTGTACTTTTTGGGAATTGACTGTCTTCCCCATCCCCAAAACAGTATTTTCCATGAGATCCTTCCCTGCTGATTCCTAAATGTAGTGTCTCCGTGTTCTGCATGTAATGGGGATGTGGGAGCCTTTATAACTAGAGTTGTTGAAGTCAATAGAAAAAGGCCCAGGGAATTTCAGCTGGTATTGGGTCAACCCCCAAGTTACTGGCCCAACAAAGCCTCTAATAACAAACTAATCAATGCCAAACTGGGAGGAGCAGTAGCAGCTGCATTGAAGAAAACATTCCGCTTTCGGGTGATGTTTGCCATTCCAGTTTTGCCCTTGTTCCTCCTTCCCCCTTCCCAGTTGTGGCATTGCCTTCATACATTCCTTTCTTGTAGGTATGGAGGCTGGGTAAGTCTCAAACTGCTTGTGGTGTGGTGGGATTTGGGACCAACATGCTGGGGACAGTAGCTTTCTGTTATGTTTTTATAATTATTATTTAAATGATCTATTTAGTTCACCTGAACCTTTAATTTTGCTGCTTACTGTATGTAGGATCCACCTGGCCTTTATCCTAAATGAAAAGAAAAAAACAAAATGAAAACAAACCTAAGACACCCCCTTCCTCCATGGTATCTTATTATTTATTGGCAGGCTGCTGTCTTGTGCCTGCTCCAGAAGATCTGCCTACCATTAATTTAACATCCTCCCAACTCACATTCCTGGTGTTTGGTTGTTGCTTCTTTTTATTTTTATCTTTTTTAATTCTAAAACAGACTTCTGAATTGTAAGAAATCTTACTATGACACTTGCAGGTTCACTTTCATTAGGAAGGCCAAGTCAAACATTTTAAGAGGTGGGGGGAACAATCTACATTTTATTTCTTATTTATTTATCGTGTTTACATCTTTTTTTCTGTTCAAGACTTGGATATAATAAAGAAAGCATTAAAAATACTCCAATCTTCTTCTTTTTTTAGGCTAATAATTTTTTTGATTCTTTAAATAAAAAAATCTAGGGTTTGTTTTTGTCTGTATAAAATGTAAAAAGAGATATGTTTCTAAAGATGCATTAACATTCCTCTGTGAACAGTAGGTGGAGTTGAGGACAAATCTCAGAATACAAGATAATAATAAAATCCCATCCTGTTTTACTTAATTGTTCCCCTCCTATCCTGTATAATTAAAGGGTTATTCCACTTTCTTGTTTGTGGCTACTTGATATTAAAACCATATTAAAATGTGTAGAAAATAGGTATCCAGTTGTTTTTGCTCAGTGAGAGGATAAACTGTTGTATATATCTTGATATACTGTGTAGTTCAAAGTAACATCAATAAGGGATAGTGCATCTTTATTAGAGTGATAAGTTATTAGTGTCACTAAAGTCTACTTTAAGATCCTCAGATACAGAAAGGGCCTGATCCCGATTCCACCCGCCTGGGGGCGAATTGAAAGCATTGGTGGCATTTTGACGCTGCAAAGCGGGTGTCAGAGGTAGAATCAAGCCTCAGCGATTAATAGGTGACCATGAGGATTATTGAAGGTTTGGGGGCACCATTATCTTTTTTCCTTTTTTCCTCAAAAGTTTTAGATCATGGTTTTCCTGTTTTTTGTTTTCTTGTTTGCAGTGAAGTAGTTTCTGCCAAGGAGGTTCTTTAAGGTGACTGCTGAGTCGGGACGACCCTTCTGTGCGTGTCGTGATCTCGGTATCGTTCTTGCAGTCCTGGAGAGTCTCAGCTCTGAGACGTTCTCTCTGGTGTTGTCTCTTTTCTGTTCTTGTTATTTGACTGAATTACTGGCCTACAGTATTTGCACTAAAAAAAAAAAAAAGCTTGTTAGAGAAAGCTTGCTGCTATGAAAGAAAGAACATATTAAAATGGTTTTGCTTTTAAAATTTTAACTGAGTAGCATTTTGTAGAATAAAATCAATTTAGACTGAAAAGAAAAAAAAGACTTTTCTTTTTTTCCTCTGCACTTTGCCCCCGCCCTGGCTCCTTTCTTTTCCTCCTGTTCCTCAGTGGTGTGA